AGTTATTTATAAAAGTTTTATTTATGAACCGATTTCTTTCAAATTCAAAAGATATAGTTTCAGCATAATCGAAAATCCGTTTATCAAAAACGGAGCCGCTAGGTAGCGCTGGAGTAGAGTTACTTATAAAAGTCGTATTTATTGACCGATTTCGTTCAAATTCGCAAAGTGAGCTACCTGTATGAGAAAAATTCGTTTCCTTAAACTGAACCCGCTATATTTTATAAAATCTGATTGAAATTCATAATGCGTATTCATTTCATGACACGCAGTGGTTTTGCAGAAAAGGGACCTAATGGATTGCGCTGCAGCCGAAATATATAGAAACCCACAAGGGGTTTGGTCGGCTTTGGACCTATATTCATCTTAGACGAATTTACTTTTCATATGGCTAAATGGAGGATTCGTTTAAGTATGCATGGTTGGTCGAAGATTCTTGGCCCTCCTATAACTGAAAACACTCATCTCTGCTCCTTAGTTTCCTTATAAGGACTTTCATTGGCTTACATGGTACATCGGGCCATTGTTGAAGTTGCAAGATCATAGAAGAATATTACGCACGCTTGGCAGAGATCCCACAAGTGGAAATAAGACCATCGGTAAAACTCATGACATCGAAAGGGATTAGTATTCCATATGGTATCACAGCACTGCTATTTTTGGCCTATATGTGAGGAGGATTCTACTCTTTATTCGTTTCAATTTAAACTAAAAATGCTTTACAGACCGCTTTTGCTTTTAAGCGCTATTTGTATGTATTGGCCTACGCAAAATATCTTATTAGGCGCCGCGAAGCAAGCGGGCATTGGCTAGTTCTTTATAAATCAGTCGTAATTTGAAAGCTTTCTAATTTTTCTTTTAGAATGACTGAAAAATTGTTATGATCTGAGTCGTGTCGTTCCTGCAGAGAACCATCGATAAGTACGTACGTATGTTCATTTTTTGTCTGTAATTTTTATAATTCTTAGAGGAAAATTTAAAAATTTCATAATTTTATTAACAACATTTTAATTTGGAAAACTTTTTTTCCGATTTTTGAAGAAAACAAACTTAAAATATTAAAAAATAATATGTTTTTAGTACAGAAAAAGTCTTTTAAATCTTTATGAATTTCCTCAGCAAAAAATAAATAAATTGGTAAATAAAATAAAATCCTAATTATTTTGTCTATTTAGAAGAAAAACTGTCAAGTTCAAAATTTAAAAAAAATTTCTTTTATAGCTTGAATTATACTTAGATCAATTTTGCAAAATCCAAAAATTTCCAAATAAAAACAAGTGAAATTTTTTTTTTTCGAAATATGCTAGTCGAAATAGAAAATATGTTGATTAAATATTCCGAAATTTAAATTTGTTTTTATTACTTTTAATTTTATTCAGACTTTTTAAAATAATAGAATAATAAACATTTTAAATATGAAAAACGTTTTAGCCAAAAATTCAAAAGTAAAAAAAAAGTCTTCCAAATCTTTGTATTAAATACGATTTTAAATTCTTTTTGATCAATTCGTCGGAAAACATTTAAAATTGCAAATGAAAAACAGGTGAAAAATTTCCTTAGAGATAGATTATAAGCAAATTTGTTTCTCTTTAAGTTTTTTCACTTTTTAACATTTTTGTAAAAAAATTTGAATATCAGAAAAAATTTTAGTCGTAAATTTCCAAAAATAAGGCGTCTAAATTTTTGTTTAGGATACAATTTTGAATTATCCTTTTATAAATTCTAAAAAAATAAACATTTTTAAATAGAGACAGAAGCAAAAATTTCTAAAAAAACATATAAAATATATTTCTATATATAAATTTCTAATTTGTTAAGTAAACAAATTTTAAGTATTGTTTGGCGGATATTGCAGAAAAGATAAAAGTTTGTAAAAATTGGTAAAAAGTCCTGATATTACTTCGAATGAGAACCATAATTTTTACATACGCAGATAATTTATTTTCCAATTTTTTTAATTGTCCTTTTTATGCAAAAAAAGTATCCAGCAAGGCATATTATAATTTCTAGACAAATTCTATAAAATTTGAAACTGGCATGTTTTAGAAATATCCAATTGATATACATATATGTCCTTAATTACTCATTCAACTATCTCGATCGAAATCCACTCGCCTTATGACCCAACTAATTCCAAAAATCCAACCATTAACAGGAGCTTTCAATCACTTCATGCTCGTAGTACAACATTTCCACCTTGTAACAACAACAACAATAATTTCAACATCATTCCTACATCATTCCTACATCAGCGCTCAGCGCATTTTTTTTTCTTCCTCCTCCTCTTTCTATCTCCTTATTATCCTTGACTGTGACGAAGGAATGCTGTGCGTATCAGTGACAGGAAACGGAAATCCATGTTGATTGATTGATTTTAATTTCCTGCCACAACAAACATGCACAATTGCAAATTTGACTTTTTGATTGTGTCCGTCACACACACCCACTCACATTCAAATACCCGCACACAAATGTATGTACTCAATACAAGCATAAATGTAGACAAATTTGTTTGTGGTAGCATCATGAGCTAAAACTCACCCACTCGAGAGAGAACGGAAAAGTTACCAGTGTCGGAAGCAGCTATGTCAGCAAGTCATCGAGCGGTGGGCGGACGTGAGCAGGCTGCCAGGCTGTCGTACGTCATGCCGCGGTGGCAAATAAATGTGCATACAAATCTGTAGCTGTAGAAATTACGATAGCAGCCAGGCGCAGCAGCATCACAAAATCACGGAAGCAGTGAAATGTATGACAGGCAACTTAAGTCCAGCAGGATAATAGATGCACGCGCATGTAGAAGTTAGCGAGCGTTGTGGTCGAGGGGATGCATGGCTACTATGGTGCTGTGGGTTAAAGTCGTCACACATTACGGCTGCCTAACTGTCAGTTATGGAGCTGGTCAGTCAATCACAGATTTTGCAGTAACATAAGTAAGCAGTCAAAGATAATCACTCAGTCAGGAAGGTATCTATTCAGTGATTGAGTTGCCGTTTTTCGGGAATTTGTCTTTGAATTTTCCAGTGCATTGGCGTAGGGTGTAGTGGAGTAAAAAGTGCGCATGAAAATGACAAAACAGAAATGAGCGATCCGGTGATTACGAGTTTGGAAGCTACAGCTGGTTTGAAAACTATTACTAGATAATTTGTTCAAAAGAAATTCAGATAACTAATTTGGAAATAGAGCTGATTTAAAAAAAATGTTTAGTATGTTCGAACCCTATTTCGCTGACAAAAAGGCAGAATGGCATAAGAGTTCGTTGTTGTTGTTACAATATCATAAAAAGTCCCAAAGAGTTTTTTGGTTATGTTTGGGGAGTGATCCGCCTCTGTCCAGATCCAAATCTGGTTCGTTTTGGGTATGTAGACCCCACTAGCATATGAACGAGTTCGTCACTTAATGTATCTGGCTCCGTCTGAGTGTTTTGCCAATCATCCATAAAATGTGGCAACCTTAATTTTCAAGCTCGGTTTAGAAATCTGAAACTTCCAGTAGATGTTTTTTCCAACTAAATTTGCAGATTTTCATTATACATATTTCATCCCAGTTACGAATTTCTGTGCTTTCTATCTACTATTCTACAATTTCCAACGTTTTTAATTTTGTTCCATTTCGTTTTATTTCGTTTCATTTCATACCGTTTCGTTTCACCTCATCTCGTTTCATTTCATTAAAGTTCACTTCTCGCATTCAACTTTAATCCTTTCATTTCATTCCGTTCCGTTCCATCCCACTTCGTTTCATTTCCTTTGATTACGTTTCATCTCATTTCATTTGGTTTGTTTAATTTTATTTCGATTCGCTTTACTTTTTCCATTCCATTCCATTTCATTTCATTTCATTCCTTTCATATCATTTCATTTTTAGTCATTTTACTTCATTTAATTTGAATTCGTATCATCTATCTCAATCCGTTTTATTAAAGTCTTAGTTCAATTTAATTTAATTTTACCTTTTTCCATTTCGTTTCATTTCATTCCGCCTCATTCCATACCATTTAAAATGTTTTGTTTCCTTATTAACCCGCTTCAGTTCCATCCTCTTCCCTTTCAATTTTTTTTTTCCTACTCTCCCTTTCGCCACTAACCAAACTCTCTCGCTCTCTCATTGTCATTCGAACAGAGCACAGCAAAACCGCTGTTGTCATCTCACTGTGGGCGTAGTCCAACTGTCAACTGTCATGATATTCAGTTACACCACACATAAAAATGACAACTCAATAAACATTGGCAACGCCTCAAAGCTCAAACACAGATTTCGCGTGCCAAGTTGTCAGTTGTGGCTGAAATAGCACAAAGCTGAAATGCTCACCATGGCCAAGTAGCCAGCCAATTCCATGAGCAACCCAACCAGCCAGCTAGACATCCAACCAGGCAGCCAGTAAACTCGCCGTGTTGGCCAACAGTCGACGCCCACTTTCACATAAATATCAACGACGGTATTAAGAAATTGACTTGGATATATCATTTACAGTAGCTGGATGACAGGCGCGACAGTAGAGAGAAGCAAAGCTACGGTGGCCGATGTAAGGAGGAGGCAACTGGTGCACTGTGGCAAGAATACTTCCGCGTGGAAGACAAACATCGCCGCGGTGGCTAAATGAGCAATCATCGTGACTGGCGATTGGTGCGACTGGTGTTGGCATTTGCTTTCACCGAAATCGCAACCGCGCGAATGTCAGTTGTTTGAAATTACCGCTATACATACATACATATTACTCTCGTTCGAACGGAAGCGCGCTGATGGGAATGAAGAGCCAGCAGCGCACAAAAGCGCTTGTCATTTCGACGCTGACACTTGCAGGCAGGCATACGACTTGCAATGTCATTGCTTTGACAGCCCATTTAATGGCAATTCAGGCGGCAGCGTAGTTAGGCAGTGAACTACTTAAAAAAAGGGGGAGGTGTTCTAAGCAAACTGAGCACATCTCAACTTTTAATGGAATTTACTTTTTGATAATTTTTTTTTTGTATTTCATTGCACAAAACTTTAGTGATACTTACTTCTTTTCCCGCTTGCCAGCGCCGGTATCACGAAAGCCCTTCGCAAAGGGATTGTTATCGATTTTTAATTGAGTAATCTGCAAGAGTGAAAGAGATAAAAGGATAATATATGATATGAGAGCGGTTAGATAATGTTTGTTATTAATTTTTAAACCTTAAAAAAAATTTTAATTTTTTACAAAATATATTTTATATAAAATGTTATATATATTTTCTAGTTATGAAACATTTTTTACGAGTAAAAAAAACAAGTTTTACAAATTTTTATTTGCAGTAAAAATTGTTTTAATAATCTCTGTTTTTAAGTTGCTAATAACCAGTTTCACGAAAGCAATTTAAGTGAAACATTATTTTTGTTTTTGAATTTAATAAGGAAACTTGCAGAAAAAAATCATTTTCCACTTAAATCGCTTTTGTGAAACCGGCAGTAAAACTTTCCATACAGTTTTTTGGAAAGTTCAAGCAAAATTTAAATTGTAATAGTTTAGATTTTTGATTTTCTGCTTGATCTGTTAAAAAAAAATATCATATCGATATATAAAATTTTGTAACGCGAAAAAAATTATAAAAATTTGAATATTTTTATGACTTGCTATCATTAAAAAATATGCTTTTTAATTATATAAACTTAAATATTAAACGACGAAAATATAAACAATGAAAGAAGATAAAAGTAAACTTTTTTGTTTAATATCAACTTATCGAACATTTTTCTTTGAAACTTTATAATAATTTTCAAAATAAGTTTCATAATGGTTTTTTAAATTTTATTAATATTAAAAATTATTATTCCCGAAATAATTATGAAATTTCTTAAAACTGGAAAAAATTGTTAGTGTAAAATGAAAAAGCCAATTTTTTTGTTATTTAATACCATAAAAAGCTCAAAACAATGAAAACAAGTTTATCTAATATATTCTTTTTAATAAAATACTCTTTTTTTTAATTTTGTAATGATTTTTACCATTTTTATAAAGTTTTGTTTGTAATTGTCATTTTGCTTAACTTTAGTCCAATAAATGTAAAGATACATTTTTTAAACCTCTTTAGGTCTGAAAAAAGAAATTTGGGAAATCGAGAAAAAAGCAGATATTTATGCAATACTCTTAATAATACGCAAAAGTTATAGGGTAAAAATTTGTAATACTTTTTGTACACAAAAAAAAATATTAATCAATTTCAAAATAAATTTATTGGTTTTTTTATCTAGTCGTGCAAAAGCCATTTTTTCTAAAGTTTTTAATCGTAAAAATTATTTTTTTTTAAGTTTTTGCTTTTAAATTTAAAATGTTTTAAATTTATTTTTCAGCTTATAAATATGTTTTACCAAAATTTTAATCGTGAAACTTATTATTTTAAATTTATTTTTTAATTTAATATTTTACCAAAATTGTTTCTGCAGCTTATAAATACTTAAAAATTTCACTCATATTCTCTTGCTCACCTTCTCATTTTGATATGCTGTAACGGCTATAAATTCGGTCTCCTTGAAAACATACGTCCGAAATGTCGAGTACGGCAGCTTGAGTATATCATTGGCTCGCACCAAATGGAAACGTGGCTGGTATTTATGCATTGAATTGAGTATCGTCTGTTTGGAAGAGAGAAAAAGAAGTAACATAAAAGCATTAGTATGAGTTATTCACTTTAGAAAAAAATATTGTTTCAATAAAAAAAATTACAAGAGCAAGTGAGTGAGTGAAAAATGAAAATGAAAAAAAAAATAATTAATTAAAAAAAAATATATATGGTGAGTGTTTTGGTATAGAAAAAACTTAGCATTTTTCAGAATTAAGAGAGTTTACAATCATCTAGAAAAGTTTTAGACGAGTTAAAACAAAAATATTCTTTGCTTAGTATAACAAAAAAAAATCTAGAGAATACAAAAATTAAAGAATATTTCAGAAGTTTTTCTCGCCTTAGATCACTGAAATTCTATCAACTCCGCAGGTACTTCAAAATGACGATAACTTTAAATAAAGTGGACAGCTGGTTGTAAGTGCCCAGTTTTTGCAAATAATCATAATGCCAATTACGCAATAAAATAAATAATAACAGTATCGCTATCTATGACTATTTTCCACATTCGCTTGCCAAATGTGTACTTTTAATATTTATGTATTTTTTCTCACAACCAACTACATACTTTTCTGCGCAGCCAAACATATTTTCTAGCTAATGCCAATTGACAACTGCAATGAATTGGCAATTATTTATAACCAATTGATATATCTTTAGCCAGACTACAAGACGTTATGTGCATTCTGAAATCACCGTTGCTGCCATAAATAATCGCAACTTCGTACACATGTGAGGGCATGTATGTATGTGCGAAAATTCAGTGTGTGATTTTAGTGTTACCACAAACATCATAAGTGGCATACTCTTGCATTCCACATTAAATATTGCATGCAATTGCCACTAGTTGTTGATGTGGTTGTTTGTTGTTGCTTTGAGAAGTCATGTTAACACTTGAATGCCAAATTCATTTGGCTACTGCCTAAATCACTTTGGCAGTTGGCTCTAGACTTTGTGGAAATCGTAAAAATTTTAACTGATGAGCGAGTGAGTGGGAGAGGAAGTTATATAGTACATGCATATGTATATATACATGTACACTGGCGATCAAATGTGAGTGCACGGAGTTTTTTTGTTAAATATTTGCAATGTTTTTCAAGTTAAAATTTGTTTGTTATTTTTTTTTTTTGATAAACATATGCTTTGATCAGAAACACATAAGTCAAACTTTCAAACTTTATACAGAATTTAATTAATTCAATCAATTTTTATCTAAATTTTGAACTTTCTAATCTGAACTTCTTATGTGAAAAAAACGCAAAATCCGTTGCAAAAAAACCATTAACAATAATCGCGATTTTTTAAGCTCTTAAATCTTGCACTTATTTTACCAAAATACATAACCGATGTAACTGCTTACCCAAAATTTTTCTAAAAACTCGGGTTAAGTAGTTCAAAATGTAGATGAAAATTTGTTGAATTTTTCTAAGCTCTGTATAAAGTTTGAAAGTTTGACATATGTGGTTTTGATTAAAGCATAAACCTAATTTTCTTAAAGAAATAACAAAAAAAATCTAACTTCAAAAACATTGCGAATATTTAACAAAAATCACCATGCACTCAGTTTTGATCCCCAGTGTAGGTACTTATGGGTGAACAAGTCAACTAGTGGAGAGTTGTAGGTGTGGATTATCAGCAGTGGTAATAGCAGCACTAAAGCTAATGCAGAGATGATGAAAATTTTTTTGGACAAAAAAGTTTAAGTTTGAAAAAATTTGAGAATATGACGCTAGTTTGAAATTTAAGAGGGAAAAAATTTAGAAAAATATTAATATTTTGACATTTTTTTTTTCATTTTCTGAAAAACATTAAAGCCTTGGATTTAGACTCTTAAAATTAATTTGGTTTTGTAGAAATAACTTTAAACCTTACGAAACATATTAAAAAATAAATAAAATACGAAAAAACTCGTCTGTGCACAACTATGCATTTTAAAATCATTTGAAAAAAATCCTGAATTTAGGAGAAAGATATTATAAAGACATATCTAAAATATTTGTCCAAAAATTTGAAATATTTTTAAATTTAAATGTACATAATTTTACAGAAAATAAAAAGAGATATTAAAAACCTGAAACTGCATTCAAATATACTATACATATGTATATGTATATTAACGAACTTAAAAACGATTTTTTCGAATAAAAATTAAAAACTCAAAAAGTTCAAATGTCTATAAAATGAAACAAAAAATAAAAATAAGAAACCACTGGTTTCTGAATAATAATAATCATGATTGTTTTTAAATATAAGAATGTTACCAAAATAAAAAATAAAAAATAGTAATTAAAAAAACCTAAATAAATTACGAAAAATTTCTAAATTTTAAAATAGTTACGAAAAATTTCTAAATTTTAAAATAGTTATAGAAAATAGTAAATGTAGTTTACAAATAAAGTTTAAATGTTATGAAAAGTGAATATTACAGAACTGTAACAAATATTGGAAACACAAATTTTTAATTATGATTTTTTTCGACTTCAAATAGGTATTGAAAAAAACCAAACAAAAAAATAGTAAAATTTTGTATAATTTAAGTTTTGTTATGTAAAAACTAGAAAAACGTAAAAATTATATAAAAAAAAATTTAAAAAAAAAAAGTTATGTCACAGATTAGGTAAATTTCACAAAACTGAAGAGTGAATTGAGTACTTGTAATTAACATTTGAAATTTTGTGCATACATTTTAGCCAGTTTTGCCCCATTGTACACCAAATACCCACAATTGAGACGCTTCAACTGAGGCATAAAGTCTAATTAAAACCAAGTCTAAACCGACCAGGTTCCACATATTTCATAACACCCACCTCTTCTTTACAGTTTTAACGACCAACTCGCAGAGCTTTAAATTTGTACATATGTCCTTGCGTTTATTTATTTATATACATACATATATGCTTTACGATTAACTCACTGGGCGCCAACTATTTTATGTTTATTGTTGTACGATCTCCATATTTAAAATTTATAATCATTTTAGTCTTTTTCGTTGTTTCGCTGCTACCGTTGCACACAACTCGAGTGAGTGAGTAATATTAACAATTGTTTTTATGTCGTCATTCAAATGACAATTATTAGCGTTTATTACCAGACTGAATGTCAATGTGCAGGCAGATAAATATTTATGTGTTGTTGTTGCTATTATAACTATATTAATTAATGCATAAATAACTGCAACTCGCTCTAACAACAATCAATGCACCGCCGCTGTTAATACAAAAAATATATAATAAAAAAAAATAAACGATCGCAACAATGGCAATTGAAATCGAAGTGAAATATTTAATTTATGTTTGTGACAGTGTTGCCATATTTGTTATTCTCAAATGTTCGAGCGCACATACAAACTTACATGTAGCACTCGTACACAGCTGCTAGGCATTCGAACGATTGAATGAATGTGGTTAATGATGTTGTAAAAGTTAATAACATAAAAAAAGCTGCAAAACATTTTTATTCTTTATTGAAATGGCAAAAACAATATGAAGTAATTTAAATGAAAAATGAATTTGACATTATAAAATGTGGTACTAAAACTGGTGGCGAGGATAAGTCTTGTATCTTTTTATGAATATATATATTTTAAATATTTATTTAATTGCTAGTAAAACGTCAGAGCTAAAGTGAAAGAGAGAAAGAACTGAAAGCTTTTGAAAATTTACCAAAAAAGGGCTAGTCTTCAAAATTATAAAGAAAAAGTTAACAGCGACGCTTTGAGCATTTTGTAAGTGGCAAATTTAGTTGTTAAATACCCTACAAAAGCTTCGCTAGGCTTTTAAATACAGCAGTAGAACTTTTAAAACATATTTTTTTTACTTCTCTTTCATTCAAGAAAGATTTCCAGCTTCCTAAATTAAGTGCATGAGTTTTCGATATACTTCGCAAGAAATTCGAAAGCTACAGAGAAAAGCTCGGCCAAGGTTTTAAACTTTTTAAGCAAAGCTTTATTGCTCTAGATTCAAGTGAACTGAAAAATATGCGCGCGAGCAGGTACTAATAAATAACGCAGGCTTCTTGATTACATATCAATGGTATAATATTGAAAAAGGCTGGCATTTTTTTTTATTTGGTGGCTCAAACTTTCATCATTCTGAATTGTATTATTTTTGCAATTTATTTGTATGCTGATGGAAAAGTAATAAAAAGCTTGTAAACAAAGCTTTTTCACAAGCAAACTTGAGCTTTCTCGAGTTCAGTCCAAAAAATTTGAGACCGAATAATCTCGTTGGTTGCGGAAAGATGTTTTGCATGCCAAGAAATATTAAGAAAGCATTTAATTTTGCTCGCCTGAGCTTTTACGTACCGAGAAAAGCTTTAGTGAAGATACTACAACCAACTAGTTATTGTATCAGCTTTCGAAGTGCTGAATAATTGAAAAACTTTTCAAAAAGCTCCGAGAGCTCCCAAAGCTCGGAAAACTTCAGTCCGGAAACTTTTCAACCTTAAGGAGTTTAGCTAAACTTTTAAGCTTTAGTTAGTTAAAGTTCAGTTAGTTAAACTTAAGAGTTGACTACCTCATAGAGCACTTAATTTATGCAATATTTTGTAGACTTTCTTTAAAGTTCCGAAAGCTTCAAAAGAGTTTTATAAATCCAGTGCATATTTTTCTAAAAATTTTCTAATTCGTTCAGATTTTAAATAGTCTAAAAAGCTCATAATCGCATAACAATAAGCGTTTTTTCGACCTTTGTTTTCTTGTTTCAAAACATGGAAAAGGCTTAAGCAAGCTTTGCAGTGCAGGTTGCAAGCCGTGCAGTGCAGGTTGCTTAAAAAGTTTCGAAAATGTTCACAAGAGCATTTTAATCAGAATTAGTTAGTTCTTAGACACATGTAGAGCTTTTGAAACTCAATATAAATATGTCAGTCCTTACTTTAAACATATCTCGCCGGAGTAGCTTTCTAAAGCTTTTTTGCTCGCGGTTATGTTAAATGCCCCCTCTGGCCATAGCTGTTATATTTTATATATATGTGTTTAGACATAGGGTATAAGCCAGTGATGCTCAGAGAGAGCGT